GGACCACACGATGATATCTCGTTGTTGTTAATGGAAAGGAGGGAGGTTTGTCCTTCCCTGTTAGTCATATTTCCTACTTGGTTAATGCAGTTGGTTTGTGTTCTTTGCCCATTTAGGTACTGGGTCTCTTAGAGGATCCTTACTGATTTATGTAAACTTGTAAAAATATCTTCAGTCATTTTCTGCAATTTTTTTCTCAGTCTTCCTGCATGATCATTTTTAAAACAATTTTTGAGATCCCCTCCATCAGATTTTGCATTGTTATCGTAAGATAAATTTCTAGGTCCAGAATTGCTAGATTGTCTTTGAAATGGGGAGTGAATTTGATGCGATGTGAGTGATAATGGTAGTCTTTTAAAAAATGCCTTTGAAAAAAATAAAATAAAATAAAAAACACCTTTGTGGACATTCCACAAAAGGAAGGTGAAAAATGTACACAGGACCTATTTTCTTAGAATATCACTTAGCATTTAAGTTATATCCTCACATAAGATTTTAATTTTTCCCTGTGGAATATAAAAGAGTTACCTCATGTCAGCGTTAAATGCCTGTAATGTAAGTGCCACTCTTACCACAGCAAACTCTTTCCTGGGGAGAGTGTTGCTGGTGGTTGATCACGAGCCCAGTCCAGGCTCCTTGCCTGTCTGCCCTTCCTTACTAATTAGCAACTCAACAAGTAGAGGTAAGCTGAAATGCTTCTTCATTAGCTTAAGGGAGAGAATGTTGGGAAAAGTCCAGCAATAAAGTCAGGGGCTTATCTGTGGATTTTGACTGTCCACTAATTTTCGGTCACCAGTTTTAGTGGGTAATTTAAAGGCTGCTATTGGCTGCATTTCTAAACTACTGCTGTTCTCGACCCTCCTATAAGGACATTTCTTCTATAAATTGTTGGCATGCTTCCAGTTTTTATTTTGCAGATAGCAGAAGAGAAGCCTGATCTGGTCTGCAGTCACTCAGGAACCTCAGTGACTTGAGATGAATTTCCATTCCTGACCCAGTTTATGTTGTTTACTGAAGGAAAATCAGTGCTCCCGGGCAGTCTTTTTATGCTTAGCTTACTGTCTCACTGCACACAGTGACGCTTACCTTCTTTTCCAGCATCCTCTAACCCCTCAATCTGCACTATCTGATACCATAGCACTAGCCACATGTCGTTTTTTTTTAATTAAAATTAAATAAAACAAATTCACTTTGGTCACACGAGCCACATTTCAAATGCTCAATGGCCATGTATGGCTAGCAGCTACCATACTGAAGATACGGATATACAACATTGCTGTCGCTGCAGAAAGTTCCGTTGGACAGTGCTTCACACCTTCCGTGATCCACAGGCAACCTTTGCCACATAACATAAAGAGAAAATTACAACACGTTTTACCTATTTTAGAAACCTGGAAATTTCTCGGTATTCTTTCTCTATCTTTCCTTGTATTTCAGAGGTAGCATATTTCATCCTTTTCAAAGCGATCCTTTTCCTCATGGACTGATTCCAGTCAGGGGTTCTGCACTGATGGGACAGTGGATTGGACCTCCGCCTTCTTCCCTAGAACCACCCCTCTTGTCTTGCATCATTCAGATTCTTCCCGTTATGCTGCCACCTTCCACCGTGCCTGCCACGTGGACCAGCCGCCGATTTCCCTCCTCTTTACCAAACTGCCCTAAAAAATAACCTGTATGCCGTCTACAATCTCTTCCCGCTTATTCCTCAGCCCTTTCAGCCTAGATTCTGCCCCTCATCTCCTGCATGTGGCTCAGTGAGCTCTCTCATTGGTTACCAGCTGCCCCCTGGTCGCCAAACCCAAGCAGCCTCATCGCAGTCACCCTCTTCCTTGACATCGCAAAAGTATTTGATACGGTGGCCAACTCTTCCTTATAATTTTCTTTCTCCTTTACTTCTGTGATATGTCCTCCTTGGTCTCCTCTCTCCTAGTTCAGTCACCTCCACAGGCCTGCCTTTTATCATCACCCGCTTCGTTTGTCAGTGCAGTTCTGTCCTCCTGTCATTTCCATTTTCTTACCCATAACTGGCTCCAGTTATTACCCAGATTCTGAGAGTTCCCAGATTATCATCCCTACATTCGATCTTCTCCCTGAACTCCAGATCAGAAGGTCCAGTGTTCATTGGACATTTCTGTTAGGATTATTCTGTCTCTATCTCAACCTTCAAACCTCCAGTTCTCAATATAAGTTCTCAGCTGCGGGGCGTATTTCCTCTCCAGATTTTCTTATAATTAGTGTTGACTCTTGAACAACATGGGGGTTAGGGGTGCCGACCCTCCGCACAGTTGAAAATCAGCGTGTGCCTTTACTGGTGGCCCTCCATTTCCGAGGTTCCACATCCAAGGATTCAACCAACCTCAGACTGTGTAAGACGTATTTATTGAAAAAAATCCCTGTACAATTGGATCTGTGCAGTTCAAACCCTTGTTGTTCATGGGTCGACTCTGTACCACCGTGCCCCCAGCCCCACTCTCGCACATGTTTTTTCTCACTTTCTCATTCCATCTGTTTGTCTCACTTGGTCTCTCTCATCACTGCGATAGTTTTTCTGGCCATCCCTTATTCGCCAATCCTAACCTTCCAATGCCCCCCACCACCACCACCACCTCCTGTTTTAGGTCTGACTCTTCTTCTTTGGCCTGGAGGATTCTTCCCCTGTACTGATACTTGCATTCTTTCTTTTCTTCACTCATGTTGTTGCCAGATAAGTTTTCTGAAGTCCATTTAAAGAAAAATAGGTGCAAACACATTTACATGCAAACATAGGCATAATAATTACCAATTTAAATTTTTGAATAAATATTTCCATGGTTCAAAAATCCAAAAGGAACCAAAAGGCATGCAGTGAAAAACTTGGCTCCCACTTGGGCCTTTTATCTTCTCAGATCCTAGTTTCCTGACAGACACATTCGCCATGGAGTAGTTTTATATTGATTTTTTTAAGGAAAATTTTAATGTGTATAAAGCACATGTTATATGTGTGTGTACATAAATTTTCCCTTCTCTACACAAATGGCAGCATAAGAAATATGCTCTTCTGCACTACTCTTTGTCTTTGCCACTAAAGAACATATCTTAGAGATCTTTCATAACAGTCTTATTCTTTTGTACAGCTGTATAGAATTCCTCCACAATTTACTTAACCCGTGCCCACTTGATGGACATTTAAGTCATTCTCCATCCTTTGCTATTCCAAACACTGCTGCCAGGAATAACACTTTGATAAGTCATTTTGCTCTTATGCAAGTGTATCTGCAGGTCACTTGTGAGAGCTGGTCGTTGGACTGTTTATTTACTGTTCTCTGAACGTCCACAGTCCCTGTCCCCAGTGCTCTGCTTCTCATGTACCAACTTACACATAGTTCAGCCCCTTCCTACTCCTCTGCCCAAAAGCCTTCAAGGACTCCCTGTTGGCAATACATCTGTCTCTGCCCTGTCAGTGTAAAGGAGAAGCAGGCAACTCAATACACAGTAGCAAACAGTGGGAGCGCCCGGCACTGTTTCTTGTTGGACTCTGTGTTCTAGCTACATAGGTCTACCTGCTGTTTCCCTAACGTGGCCCGTGCCTTTCTGTCTCCCTTCTCTGCACAGAGTGCCTTCCCTTTATTCTCCGTAGGCCTCTCCAGATCCATGGCATCTTTGGAGACTGAGCTCCTATACCACCGTGTCTGTGAAGCTTGATTCCTGCACCCTTCTGCTAAAAAGAGTCTGGGCTTCCCCTGGGTACTTTCATAGGGCATATCCTTCTCTGCCCTGGATTACATTCCGATATCCGTGCAATTCTTCTAGTTTAGCTTCTAGTTAGTAATGCCCCAGATGTAAGGATGGTGACTTGTTTTGATTTCTCATCCCCCAGAAGTTGCCTAACATGGTGTCTTGTATATACCAATGAATGAGAAAGAGCAAAGTTGACTCTATTCTTGTCTGACGTGAGGGTTGGGGGAATACTTAAGAGCCTAGAGCCAAGAAGTCTTGTATTCTCAGTGACTGCTCCTGTGACCTCCTGGGAAATGCGAGTTCTGTTCCATTCTATGTTTATTCTATGGCCAGCTAAAAGCATTGGCAGGACCAAAAATGCGGTCTGTATTACAGCACAACCAGACCTTAATATGTGATTGGAACCAGGTCTCCATTTTTATTATGACAGCGAGACTCCTTTTTTAAAGCTTCAATTATTTACAAAAAAAAATGAATAAAAATTATTTATGGAATCTAGTCTCACCACTGCAGCTTTGACTGTAAGGCCATTAGAGGGTAGAGCAGTAAACTGCATATGAAACCATGGATCCAGGGTACCCTGAGTTCTAACTGGGATGTCACTGAGGTGTGGCCACTGTGTATGGTGATGTTTTCTCTTTTCTGTGCTGTTAGGTTTTCGAAGAACCCTCCATTAGCCTTTTTGCTCTGGAACATTGTGAGGGGAGAGAGTTACATCTAGAAGAGGCTGTGAACTCTGTTCTCAACAAGGACCTGCACTTCTACACCCAGTCTGTGTGGGTAAAAAGTGGACTGTAAGTATGGGACAAGGGCCTGGCCTGCTTCAGTCACTCTTGTAGGACAGAGTTGCACGGTTGCTTTTTATTCCCCCACAGCTGCTGTTACTTGGTCTGATGGTACTCTTACTCCTTCTTTTCTCTCTCCATGTAATAATAGTAGTTTCTCTCAAATAAGAGAAGACAGTGGACTGTGTCCGTATGAAGTAGCAGGCAGTGGTCTGGGAGAAGAGCCTGCTGGGAGAGAAGGGCTGCCACGTGTTCAGAACATGTGTCCGAGAGAAGGTGGACCAGATGACCGTAACAATTTGAGCCCACTTTCCTTTCAGAAGAAACCTAATTAAACCAGCCACTTTGACTGGTTGAGACCATTGCCTGCTTATGACAAGTGACTAAAACTAATAGGGTTTTTTTGTATTTTGATTTGACATCTTGTTTATTCTAGAGCTGTTTGCTCCAAGGCAGTTATTTTCAGGCTGGGTGTCCTGGCTGACCCAGCCCACCTACCAACGTTGCTGTTCATTCAGGATGTCAGTCAGGGTGGATCCAGATCTTGCAGGGCCTGCACTTTTACAATCTAGGGAGATGACTCTAAGAAAAGAAATAAAAAATGATGGGTATGAACTTCATTAGGTATGAACTTGCAAATTTATTCAGAACAGAAATGGTAAGTGGCCTGCAAGGGAGGGGCCCTGAAGTTGAAGCTCTAATGCTTCCTAGAAAATCTACATCTCAGGCCGTTTCTGAGAGTGGCTGTCAGCCTGCCCCTCCTCCTGTACCTTTGGTGTTTAGGTATCAAAAGTCATCTGAAAGAACACACATTGCTCTCAATGATTAATATAAAGATGCCTATTTTTATGTCTTATGACTTTGAAATTGTGTGATAATCAACTCTCCTTGTTAAACTATCTTGGGGATAATGAAAGACAAAGCTGAGACTATAAGTTGATTTGAAAACTGAGTTACCTATTATAATAAGTGGTTTCTGTATCATTCACGTGTACAGCAGTTTAAACTTTCTTCTGCAAAGCATTTCACATGGTTTGACGTTTATTAAACGTAAATTGCTTTACTCTAAGCATAATAATCCCTATATTATATTCCAGTATATCCTTTACCACTTAACTAACTCTGAACTGAATTCTACATCCCTGTGAAAGTTAGGACTTTCACAGCATTTTTTTTAATAATAAATTTATTTATTTTATTTATTTATTTTTGGCTGCGTTGGGTCTTCATTGTTGCGTGTGGGCTTTTTCTAGTTGTGGCGAGCGGGGGCCACTTTTCCTTGCGGTGCACGTGCTTCTCATTGCAGTAGCTTCTCTTGTTGCGGAGCATGGGCTCTCGGCGTGCAGGCTCAGTAGTTGTGGGATCTTCCTGGACCCAGGGATCGAACCCGTGTCCCCTGCATTGGCAGGTGGATTCTTAACCACTGCACCACCAGGGAAGTCCCTTACAGCTTTTTTATACGTTTCTTTTCTTTACATTTCTAAGTGGAACTGATAGTTACTGACTCACTTCTGGAAATTTCTCACGAGCTTATTTCACTCTTTTGTAGAAAACTGCTGCCATTTTACCGTAACATTCTTATTGCTTCTCTTTAGTTTATTATGTACCTCCTCTCACTGTTCTGGATTCTCTGAAAGAGAATTGGTACCTGGAGTAAGGACTAGTGAAGGCTGTCTGAAGGTATTCCTAGGCCACAGATGGCTCCCAGAATGCCACTTAATGCACAGCCAGCTGCCCTCAGTGACAAGTTTTGTTTTGTTCTGTTTAAGCCCTGTATTATGCCACATCTCTGATCTGTGGTGGTAATGGGGGCCAAGTTAATGCTTTTCAACTGTGAAATTCATTCGATTAATATATAATGAGGTATAGTTTATTGAAACCTTGCCTAGGTTTTATAACTGAGACATCCCTGCCTGTCTAAAAAGAATCTGCAAAGCTGGAGAGGTAGCTCAGCCCCTCCATGGTCATGCTGTCCTGACTCTGCACCAATCTGATGGTTTATTTAGATTGTGTTGGCAAGAAGGGGTAGAGGGAAGGTCATATGCCTTGTTCATCCATTCATAATTTAGCCAAGCCTGATCTTGGCTGTGGAGAGCAGGAGGCTTCATCTGAACCAAGCAAGGCAGCCACCTCGTCTTCATGCCTACTTTCTGAAAGCACCGTATGCCATGACCTGGAGTCTGCTGAGAATTTCAGATCCTCTTGGCAGTCCCAGCTTATTCTCCTTAGCTTGATAACCACCTCAAGCAGGGCTCAGCAAACCTTTTCAGTAGGGGCCAGGTGGTCTTTTCAGTTTGTTGGCTATCCTGACTCTGTCACAAGCATTCAACCTGCCATTGTGGTGCTGAAGCAGGCGAGGCCAATCCGGAAAGGAATGGGCGTGACTGTGTGCCACTGAATGAGTCTCCAGGCTCCAGACACTCACCTTGAGGCCCTGCGCACTTTGACACCCTGTAACTTGGCCCGACTTGAAGGCCCCTGGGGTACTGAGCAGTATTTGCAAAGGAGCTAGACCTTGAAGTAAGGGTTCAGACCAGATTTCTGTGGATAATTTTAAGTAGCCCTTGCTGGGAGTTGTTGTGGAAGGAGGTGTGTCTGCAGAGGTCACCGGAGCTGTCCAGAGAGGCTGTGAAGGATGTGGGACAGTGAGCCTAAGAGTGGAGAGGAAACAGGTGGTTTTTAACTGGGTGAGTAGGGAGGAATTACGGTCTATCTCTGAATGTTAAAATGTTAGGGAAAAAAACTTGGTATCATCAAAGGAACAAAGAATTCTAAAGCTGGAGGGAACCTTGTTTTGGACGTAAGAAAACCAGATTCCTGATGAATCTAAATCTTCTAAGCCACAGTCCAGTGGGCTTTCTCCTTTCTCCTAGTCCTCCCTGCTTTTTCCGTTAAAATATACAATTGCGCAATGCTTTTTCTTAAAAACAGTCTACAAACCTGGAGGTTTTAAAGAAGGAACCCTATATGGTATAGTAAGAGGTATTTTTGTTAAGAGATTGCTTTCTGTTTTAAGCATCCCATTTTTTTTTCTTTCCGCTTCTCGTATAGGTGGATAGCTTATGAAGGATCCAATTTCTTAGGAAGACAAATCCTACTCAAGCCTAATGAGATCCCGAATTGGACAGCATTCAGTGGATGGAAAACAATTGGTTCCCTCCGTCCTATGAAGCAGGTAAGGAGAAGAGAACCGTACGATCCAAAATAGCTCCATTTCTTAGTAGAAATGTCAAAACCCACAGCATCTGAACTATGGACTGTTTAATTTAGTTTGTCATTTATGTTGTAGGAGGATCTGATTAGGATGGGGATTTTATAGATTTTAACTAATTCATAAAATTGTACCTAAGGTCAGCACTGGGTTTTAGCTTTGAGTCCAGAGTCCTATTGACCTTGTTGCCTTTTCATGGGAAAATAAGTATCATAAGCTCTGTGGCAAGCCGTGGAAAGAAGAATGAACTCTGAGAGTGCACTAGTTTTACTTCCTAAGTACTTGGCTTTTTCCCCCCACTTATGTAATACTCAGGATGGATCCTGGCAATTTAATTAACATAGTATTTATTGCACACCTACTGCTTGTCAGTCTTCTATTCAAAAGCTTCCCACTGTACTTCGGATATAGTCTAATCTCTTCAACGTGTCCTATGTGATCTGGCTCCCCCTGGCTTCTCCAGCCTCATCTCTCATCATCTCCCACTCACACGCATGGCTGTCACATGCACCAGCACACAGAGTGTTTTCCCACGCTTAACACAGGCTCTGCCCTCTGTCTAGAAGTTTCTCCCCCCATTCTTTGCCAGGCTAGTTCTTACTTCTCCTTCTAAGTTCATCTGTAGTTTCAGGTCCTCCAGGAAGCCTGTTTCACTCTCTCTCTAAAACCAAACTACATCCTTAAAGACCTGGTTCTTTTTCTACAAGACACTGCCTGCAGTTTGTCATGACACAGTTGTTGTTGGGCTGGGTGCTTTCTCACTCTGCTAGAAGCCCTGTGAAGGCAGGGGCTGTGCATACTCTACCCTGTCACAATGTCTGGCACATTGTAGGAACTCAGGGACTATCTGTTTAATGAAGGAATGAATGTATAAATGGATAAGTGAATGTTTGACATTATGCAGGAAAATTATGGAATATGTATAGGGGTAGACATGATTTTGGCCTTCTTGGAGCTTACATTTTTGTTGGGTAAAAAACATGTCCAACTCAAAGCAGTAATATAAACTGCAAAATGGGGAGGGGCCAAGATGGCAGACTAGAAAGACCCTGAGCTTACCTCCTCTCACAAGCACACCAAAATCACAACGATCTGCAGAACAGCCATTGATGAAAAAGACTGGAACCTACCAGAAAAGACATTCTATAACTGAAGACATATAGAAGGAACCACAACGAGTAGGAGGGACAGACTTGCAATATAATCAAATCACATACCCCTGAGTGGGTGACCCAAAACCTGGAGAATAATTATATTGCAGAAGTTCTCCCAAAGGAGTGAGGGTTCCTGAGCCCTACATTGGGCTCACCAGCCTGGGGGTCCTGCACCAGGAAGATGATCCCCCAGAGCATTTGGCTTTGAAGGCCAGTGGGGCTTAATTTCAGGAGCCCCACAGGACAGGGGAAAATAGAGATGTCACTCTTAAACGGTACAAGCAAAATCTCATACACAATGCCCAGGGCAAAAGCAGTAATTTGATAAGAACCTGGGCCAGACCTACCTGCTGGTCTTGGAGAGCCTCTCAAAGAGGTAGGTGGCAAACGGATCAGTGAGCTGGAAGACAGAGTAGTGGAAATCACTGACGCTAAACAAAAGAAGAAAAGAGAAAAAAAAAGAGGACAGTATAAGAGCCCTCTGGTACATCAAGCACACTAATATTTACATTGTAGGGGTCCCAGAAGGATAAGAGCAGGAGAAAGGGCCTGAGAAAATATCTGAGACATAATAGCTGAAAACTTCCCTAACCTGGAGAAAGAAATAGTCACTCTAGTCCAGGAAGCACAGAGAGTCCAATACAGGATTAACCCAAAGAGGAACATACCAAGACACATTGTAATTAAAATGACAAAAATTAAGGATATAGAGAGAATATTAAAAGCAGTGAGGGAAAAGCAACATATAACATACAAGGGAACTCCCATAAAGCTATCAGCTGATTTTTCAGCAGAAACTGCAGGCCAGAAGGGAGTGGCATGATATATTTAAAGTGATGAAAGGGAAAAACCTACAAGCAAGAATATTCCACCCATCAAGGTTCTTGTTCACATCTGATGGAGAAATCAAAATCTCTACAGACAAGCAAAAGCTAAAAAGAGTTCAGCACAACCAAACCAGTTTTACAACAAATCTTAGAGGAACTTCTCTAGGCAAAAAAGAAAAGGCCACAACAAGAAACAAGAAAATTATGAAATGAAGAAGCTCACCGGTAAAGGCAAACAAGCAGTAAAGGTAGGAAATCATCCCCACACAAAGCTAGTAGGGAGGTTACAAAGCAAAAGTAAAACCACCTCTATCCACAATAAGCAGTTAAGGGATACACAAAACAGGTGTAAAACATGACATCAAAACAGTAATCATAAGGGGAGGAGAGTACAAAGAGAGGCTAGTTAAAATGCACTTGAGATTAAGAGATCAGCAACTTAAAACAGTCATTTATATATATAGACTGCTGTATAAATACCAATGGTAACCATAAACCAAAAATCTACAACAGATATACACACAAAAAGGAATGCAAACATAACACTAAAGACAGTCATCAAATCACATTAGAAGAGAACAAAAGAAGAAAAAAGGGGAGAAAAGGGCCTATAAAAACAAATCCAAAACAGTTAACAAAATGGCAGTAAGAATATACATATCGATAATTACCTTAAATGTAAACAGACTAAATGCTCCAACCTAAAGACACAGAGTGGCTGAATGGATACAAAAACAAGACCTGTATATATGCTGTCTACAAGAGACTCACTTTAGATCTAGAGACACATACAGACCAAAAGTGAGGGTTTGGAAAGCGGTATTCCATGCAAGTGGAAATCAAAAGAAAACCAGAGTAGCAATACTTAACATTAGACAAAATAAGACTTTAAAATACTGTTACAAGAGACAGAGAAGGACACTATATAATGATCAAGGGATCAATCCAAGAAGATGACATAACAATTTAAATATATATGCACCCAACATAGGAGCACCTCAGTATATGAGGTAAACATTAACAAACATAAAACAAGAAATTGACAGTAACACAATAATAGTAGGGGACTTTAATACCCCATTCACATCAATGGACAGATCAGACAGAAAATCAATAAGGAAACACTGACCTTAAATGACACATTAGACCAAATAGATTTAATTTATATAGAGAGAGCATTCCATCCAAAAGCAGCAAAATACACGTTCTTTTCAAAGTATACCTGGAACATTCTCCAGGATATATCACACGCTAGGCCACAAAACAAGCCTCGGTAAATTTAAGAAAATTGAAATCAAGTATCTTTTCCGACCACCATGCTATGAGACTAGAAATCAGCTGCAAGAAAAAAACTGCAAAAAACACAAGCCTGTGAAGGCTAAACAACTAAACAACCAATGGATCACTGAAGAAGTCAAAGAGGAAATCAAAAAATACCTACGGACAAATGAAGATGAAAACACAACAATCCAAAACCTATGGGACACAGCAAAAGCAGTTCTAAGAGGGAAGCTTAGTGATACAGGCTCACCTCAGGAAACAAGAAAAATCTCAAACAACCTAAACCTTATGCCTAAAGCAACTAAAGAAAGAAGAGACAAAACCCAAAGTTAGTAGAAGGAAAGAAATCATAAAGATCAGAGCAGAAATAAATGAAATAGAGACTAAAAGCACAATAGAGAAGATCAGTGAAACTAAAAGCTGGTTCTTTGATAAACCTTTAGCCAGACTCATCAGGGAAAAAAAAAGGGGGAGAGGGCCCAAATCAATAAAATCAGAAGTGAGAAAGAAGTTACAGCCGACACCACAGAAATACAGAGGCTCATAGGAGACCACTACAAGCAACCATCTGCCAATAAAATGGACAACCTGGAAGAAATGGACAAATTTTTAGAAAAGTATAATCTCCCAAGACTGAAGCAGGGAGAAATAGAAAATATGAACAGACCAATTACCAGTAATGAAATTGAATCAGTAATTCGAAAACTCCCAACAAACAAAAGTCCAGGACTAGATGGCTTCACAGGTGAATTCTACCAAATATTTAGAGAAGAGTTAACCCCTATCCTTCTGAAACTATTCCAAAAAATTGCAGAGGAAGGAACAGTTCCAAACTCATTCTCTGAAGCCAGCATCACCCCGATACCAAAACCAGACAAAGATATCACACAAAAAAAGAAAATTACAGGCCAGTATCACTAATGAACATACATGCAAAAAGCCTCAACAAAATACTATCAAACCAAATCCAACAACACATTAAAAGGGATCATACACCATGATCAAGTGGGATTTATCCCAGGGATGGAAGGATTTTTCACTATCTTCAAATCAATCAATGTGATATACCACACCAACAAATTAAAGAATAAAAAAAACATATGTTCATCTCAACAGATATAGAAAAAGCTTTTGACAAAATTCAACATCCATTTACAATAGAAACTCTCCAGAAGGTGGGCACAGAGGGAACGTAACTCAACATAATAAAGGCCATATGTGACAAACCCACAGCTAACATTATACTCAAGGATGAAAAGCTAAAGAAATCTCCTCTAAGATCAGGAAAAAGATAAGGATGTCCACTCTTGCTGCTTTTATTCAACACAGTATTGAGAGTCCTAGCCACAGCAATCAGACAAAAAAAAGAAAGAAAATGAATCCAAATTCGAAAGAAGTAAAATTGTCACTGTTTGCAGATGACGTGATACTATACAAAGAAGATCCTAAAGATGCCACCAGAATACTAGAGCTCATCAATGAATTCAGTAAAGTTGCAGGATCCAAAATTAATATGCTGGAATTTGTTGCATTTCTATACACTAACAATGAACTTTCAGAAAAAGAAAGTAAAGAAACAATCCCACTTACCATTGCATCAAAAAGAAAAAAACACCTAGGAATAAACTTACCTAAGGAGGCAAAAGACCTGTATTTGGAAAACCTTAAGACGCTGATGAAAGAAATTGAAGACAACACAAACAGATGGAGAGATTTACCGTGTTGTTGGATTGGATGAATCAGTATTGTTAAAATGACCATACTTCCTAAGGCAATCAACATATTCAATGCAATCCCTATCAAAATACCAATGGCATTTTTCAAGGAACTAGAACAAATAATTTTAAAATGTATAATGGAAACAAAAGACCCCCGAATAGCCAAAGCAATTTTGAGAAAGAACTGAACTGGAGGCATCACACTCCCTGACGTCGGACTATACTATTGTACAAAGCTACAGTAATCAAAGCATTATGGTACTGGCACACAAACAGACACATACATCAGTGGAATAGGATAGAGACACTGGAAATAAACCCATGCACCTACAGTCATTCCATGACAAAGGAGGCAAGAATATGTAATGGAGAAAAGACAGTCTCTTCAATAAGTGGTGTTGGGAAAACTGGAGAGCTACCCATAAAAAAATCAAATTAGAACATTCTCTAACACCATATACAAAAATAAACGCAAAAGGATTAAAGACCTAAATATAATACTGGATAGTATAAAACCCCTAGAGGAAAACATAGGCAGAACACTCTGACATAAATCACAGCAATATTTTTTTGGATCCATCTCCTAAAATAAAGGAAATAAAAGCAAAAATAAATGGACCTAATTAAACGTAAAAGCTTTTGCAAAACAAAAGAAATCATCAGCAAAACGAAAAGGCAATCTACTGAATGGAAGAAAATGTTTGCAAATGATATGACTGATAAGAGATTAATATACAACACATAAAAACAGCTTGAGTAGCTCAACACAAAAAACATACAACCTGATTTAAAAATGGGCGGAAGAACTGAACAGACATTTTTACAAAGAAGAAGTGCAGATGGCCAACAGGCACCTGAAAAGATGTTCAGCATCACTCACCATCAGAGAAATGTAAATTAAAACCACAATGGGATATCACATCACACCTGTCAGAATGGCTATTATCAAAAAGAAGACAAAAAAGAAATGTTGACGAGGATGTGGAGAAAAGGGAACCCTTGTGCACTGTTGGTGGGAATGTAAATTGAAACACTAATTCAAAAAGGTACGTGCACCCCAATGTTCATAGCAGCATTATTTACAATTGCCAAGATATGGAAGCAACCTAAGTGTCCATCAACAGATGAATGGATAAAGAAGACATGATGTGTGTGTGTGTGTGTGTGTGTGTGTATACACACACACACACGATGAAATACTACTCAGCCATACAAAAAAATGAAATTTTATCATTTGCAGCAACATGGTTAGACTTGGAGGGCATTATGCTTGGTGAAATGTCAGAGAAAGACAAATACTGTATGATATCATGTGTGGAATCTAAAAAATACAACAAACTAGTGAATATAACAAAAAAGAAGCAGATGCACAGATACAGAGAACAAACTAGTGGTTACCAGTGGGGAGACTGGGGAGGGGTAACATATGGGGGAGGGGGAGTAGGAAGTAGAGACTGTTGGCTGTAAGATAGGCCCAAGGATGTATGGTACAACACGGGGAGTACAGCCAATATTTTGTAATAACTGTAAATGGAAAGTAACCTTTAAAAGTTGTACTAAAACTTTTTTAAAAAATTAAAAGCTAGGGGCTTCCCTGGTGGTACGGTGGTTGGGAGTCTGCCTGCCGATGCAGGGGACACGGGTCCGTGCCCTGGTCCGGGAAGATCCCACATGCCGCGGAGCAGCTGGGCCCGTGAGCCGTGGCCGCTGAGCCTGCGCATCTGGAGCCTGTGCTCCGCAACGGGAGAGGCCGCGGCAGTGAGAGGCCTGCGTACTG